TGGAAAAGAGAAGACTGAGAGGGGACATGATAGCAGTTTTCAGGTATTTAAAAGGGTGTCATAAGGAGGAGGGAGAAAACTTGTTCACCTTAGCCTCTAAGGATAGAACAAGAAGCAATGGGTTTAAACTGCAGCAAGGGAGGTCTAGGTTGGACATTAGGAAAAAGTTCCTAACTGTCAGGGTGGTTAAACACTGGAATAGATTGCCTAAGGAGGTTGTGGAATCTCCATCTCTGGAGATATTTAAGAGTAGGTTAGATAAATGTCTATCAGGGATGGTTTAGACAGTATTTGGTCCTGCCATGCAGGCAGGGGACTGGACTCAATGACCTCTCGAGGTCCCTTCCAGTCCTAGAATCTATGAATCTATGAATCCGCAGTGATGTGTGTGCAAGACCATGCTGACTGGGGGGAGGCATAGTTCACTGGTTTGAGCATTGGCCTGCTAAACCCAGGGTTGTGAGTTCAATCCTTGAGAGGGCCGTTTAGGGAACTGGGGTAAAAATCTGTCTGGGGATTGGTCCTGCTTTGAGCAGGGGGTTGGACTAGATGACCTCCTGAGGTCCCTTCCAACCCTGATATTCTATGAAATCACACCATTTGGCAGTCTCAGCAAAGAGACATGGGTGGCTGAGCTTAGGAGCTGTGAACTCCATGTTCCCTGCCTTGTTCAGGACAGACCTGCTCTGAGGAGGCGTCAGGGCTGTGCAGTGAAGGAGGGTGTTGTCTGTAGGACCTGCCTCAATTGTTGCAGAAGTGGAAGGTGTGCCATGAATGAGGCAGGGCTGGCAGAGAAATGATGGTCTAGTGAGGAAGGCAGTTGAATGCTGCCCTGGAGAACTGGATTCTATCCCTGCCTCTGCCACAGAGTTCCTCTGTGATGCTGGGCAAGTCACTTAATAGTGACCACCCATGAAAGTTTGGTTTGTTTATGCGGAGATATAGGCCTGGGTGGCCTCCCTTATGTCAGTCAAAGCAATGCAGAAGGCCCGAACTTAGGCCTTCTGACAGAGGCTCGGTATACTGACCCTTGTGAAGGCCTTTTACAGGGCAAAGCCTGAACAAGACTAAGCTGTACAATTCCCTGCCAAATTCGGTCAAGGGTTATGATCAGAGGAGGGAGGGAGAAGGAGCAATGTGGAAGGGCTCAGTAACATAACCACCGCTTACATGAAGAAATCGCTTCTAGCAAAAGGCCAACTTCTCCCGTAATTCCAGCTAACTGCAAAGCTAGCCAATCATATCTCTTCTTTGGGCGTCCTGTGATAACCCCCTATGCCCTATAACGGTAAAACCCCGGAAAAACAATATGCACCCTGCCGAGAAAAACACCCCAACTGGTGCCAAGTACTGCCCATATTGGAAACCACCCAATATGCACCCAATTCTCGTAAATTGATGGGGGAGGTATTGGGAAAAAGGTACAGACCCCAACTCTTATTTCACGCAAATGACGTATAATTTGTACTATGCTTGCGGTTTGACGGAATAAAAGCAGCCTGCATGCTGTGCTAGGGGTGGCAGTTTTCGGACTGCTACCCCAACGCGTTGGTATGTATTGCAATAAACTGGCCTCAGGCTTGCGTCTGTGAACTAAAATCAATGTGTGGGTGACTTTTTCCATGACATTTACTCCTAATGTTCTGGGGGCCCAACTTGAGACCCTGGGGTGTGAGGTGCAGAAGTGCTGAGTGCTCACAGTTGTGACTGAAGTCAGTGGAAGCTGTGCTGTACAATGCCTAGGTGTCTGAAACTGGACACCCCAAATTAGTGGATACTTTTGACCATAATCTCTTTGTGCTGCAGTTGCCCATCTGTAGAATGGGGATAATACAGCACAATGTGAGCTGAGTGGGAGAGGATAAATTCAGTACTGTTTGTAAAGTACTCGGATACCGTAGTGATGAGCTGCATAGACAAGCTTATGAGGAAATGAATAATTTGGATTCAGAGCAGGGTTTGAACAGGGGGCAGTAAATAAGGCCTGAACAATGAAAAGAAAACAAAATATGGAATAGCTGCTCATCAGGGAGCACCGTCCCACCTGTGCACTGGTTCTGAGGAAACAATAGCATGCCATCATGTCATGAAAGACTATATCCCAATGCACACAAAGGGCAGAGTCATGTTCCCACGGGCAGCCTTAATTCCGGTCTTTCCTACCTGCAGGGTGCTTGACTTTGCACCTTAATAATGTTCTATTAACGGGTTAGAAGGCCCTTGCGGTTGGCGCTAGTCACCCCAGCCCAGCGTGGCGAGCCATTGGTAGCTGTCTGGGGACGAAGCAACGGGGAGAGTCCGGCAGGAAATGTACCAGGACCCTCAGCTGTGGGATTTAACGTCGCCCACTAGCCACTCTTGACTCTGTTCCTGTCTCTTCGCAGGCCAGTTCCCCTATGATCTCAATGAATTTGGTTCCACCTTCCGGGTAAGTGCGTCACCTAGATGTGGGGCTGCCCCCTGGGACTCAGCGGGACTGCTGCCATTGAGGACATTAGGAGCAGGAGCACACGGAGCCTTGGCAGGAGTCACAGGGGGCATCCCCAGCTGTCGCTGCACACGCAGAGCCCGCTGTGCTGTGGCTGCAGGGCAAGGCTGGCGTGGCTCAAGCGCCCAGCTCCAGAGCTGTGACCCCCGGAAGTGAAGCCCGCACTCAGCGTCCCTGAATCTCCGGGTGGCACCGTGTGTTAAGGGCACTTGGCCGTTGGGTGCAGTGTGTTAACGGGCCTTTGCTGAGCTGCTCGCCACTGCCGGAGGCTGAGCACCCCTCGGGCGCCCTGCAGAGGGCAGGCCCGGTAACTTCCTGGAGCCGGCGTGCTCTGCTTGTCTGTCCCCACAGAGCATGCACCACCCAGGCGCTGCAGGGACAGTCTGCACAGCCTTTGCCCAGCCCTCCAGGGCATGGGTCACAGCACCCCTGCCCTCGGGGCTGTGCTTATCCAGTCCTGGCCCATGCAGGCAGCAGGGCGTGGGAAGGAGTTCACAACACCCTGTCCCTGGGGAGGGGGGCGATGGCGATAGGGTTGGGGACATCGGGCAGCCCAGACTAATGTCAGTCGCCTTCGGCAGGGTGAAAAAGGAGATCGGGGGGACCCTGGACTGAAAGGAGAGAAGGGGGAGCCCGGCGAGGGAGGACTGTATGGACCAAGCGTCTCTGGACCTCCAGGTCCTCAGGGCTATCCTGGCCTTCCGGTGAGGTGCCCCTGTTGCAAGGGGATGGGGTTAGGGTGGGCACACCTGGGCAGGGTGATGGAGAGTTTGATGGGGCAGCCAGCACTGTGGCCCTCCCCAGGGGGGTGTCTAAAGGGAGGGGCCAATGTCCCGTGGCAGGGGGATCCCTCAGCCAGATGGGACTGACCACAGAGCCAGCCGGATGCCCAATACCCAGGGAGAAAGGCCTCACAAGGGAGCAGTTCCAGTGGGGCCAGCGAGCGCCTGGCATCCTGGGGGCGGGGGGTGCAGGGGCTGGGGTGCTGTGTGGGGTGGGTTGAGTGGTTGTGTGTCTTAACCTGAAGAAGACTCTCCCTTGTGCATCCCCAGGGTCCCAAGGGGGACAGCATTAGAGGCCTGCCTGGCCCCCCAGGGCCTCAGGGACCCCCTGGCATTGGGTACGAGGGGCGGCAAGGTCCCCCTGGGCCTCCCGGGCCCCCCTCCTTTCCAGGACCCCACAGACAAAGTGAGTATGTGCCCAGGAAGTCATCTCTGTGCCCTTCCCCACGCGCTGCCTCCCCAGGTGTTCCTGCCCCTTGCGTCCCACCCACCCCTACCAGGCCTGAGACCTGCCTGGTTCCTGAGGTGCTAAAGCCCCCTGAGTGCCAGCCTGTTCTTCCTTCCAGCTGTCAGCATCCCTGGCCCACCTGGGCCGCCAGGGCCACCGGGACCTCCAGGGACCAGCGAGTCGTTGACCTCTTCCGGGGTAAGGCAGGGTATGCGGGGAGGGGACAGGTGGCGTGAGCAGTCTGTGAGCAGGGTGCCCAGGACTGCCCAGCAGGGGACAGCAGTCCCGGGGAGGATGGGGGCAGTGCAGTGGGAAGACCCAGACACAAGCCCTAGTAGGAGAGTTCAGAGATCTGCCCCCAGGAGGAATACCCCGGGTGAAGGACAGAGCGGGATCCATTTGGGGGCCCCAGAGGAGCGGGAGAGGCCAGGCTGTAGGGTTGCCAGGGATGGCACTAGTCAGAGAATCAGTGCCCTCTGCTTAGTGCCGGCTGGGCTGGCCGGGGGGCTGCCTGTGGCATGGGCACTGAGCGCAGAGCAAGCAATACCCGCTGCGGGAGCTGGGCTGTAATCCATGACAGCCGGGTCAAGAGGAGAGCCCCGTGGGAAGGACCGGCAGAGACCGGGGGACCAAAAGCCCCATGCCGGAGTGCGCACGGAGCTGAGGGCACTGTGCACGTGAGGGGGATCTGTGCAGACCCGCTGCGTTTATCCAAGAGATGGGGGCGGGGACTGTAAGTACCTACCCCCGGGAGATTCGTGAGCGCAGAGGGCTCTCCAGTCTAGAAGCCCCCCTGCCTGGGAGCTGCAGCGAGAAATGAAGGGCCGATTTTTAGCAGTGAGGAGACTCAACCCTTGGCACAGCTTATCTAGGGAGGCGGTGGGTCCTTCCTGTGTGACTGCAGCGTGGCTGCAAGAGTGTTTCCTCTGCAGTGCCACCCTGTGTCCCAGCGAGAGCCCACTTCTCTGCAGCAGGCCCCGCTGCCCATTGAGAGAGGCAGGTATCCGCCATTCTGCCGAGAAGAGCAGTGGAAGCTGTAGAGCCATGGGAAATACTCAGAGGTGGGAAGAGACAGACAGGGCTGTTCAGTGCAGAGCGGAGACGGGGGGGCGAGGGGTCGTTGTAACTAGATATAAATCAATGACATGGGAAAGGCGAGGCATGAGGCCCTCCTCAGCAAAACAAGGAGACAGCCAATAAGATAGGTGGGCAGCTAATCTTAAACTGACAAAATAAAATTCATTCACTTGAGGCAGAATTACCCTGTGGAACTCAGGGCTACAAGATATTATAGAGACAGAGATGAGAAAAGGATTAGGCCACTGTAGGAACAGCAGCATGGCAAGAATAAGTGTACAAGGGGAATCCGCTCTCATGCCAAGAGATACAGCAGCCACTACATCCCTGAGGTTAGGAAAGAGCCTTCCCCAGGGGCGGGTGATGGCAGAATTGTCCAGAGGAGTTTCACGCTGTTCCCTAAAGCATCTGGCCGCTGTGCTGGCCAGGGCCCTGCTCTAGCACCAGTGCGCTGATGCACCGGGGCAATTCCAGAACACAGGGTATAAAGGGCTGGAGTCACCCAGCAGCCAACAGCCAGCCTCCATTAGGGTTGATCTCTCAGCCCTTTGATGCTGGAGCAATAAGCATGCCAGTGCTCATGTGCCCTCTGCTGCTGAATCCCGTGCAGTCAGAGCCCATTTCATGGCGTTCTCCAGCCTCGCCTCATAGCTGCACTCACACCCGGGGCCAGCGGGAGACAGCCCGTCTCGTACCTCAGTGCTGGACTGCAGAGACTCATCCTGTCATTGAGCCCAGCCCTTTCCTGTGCCATTGCACTGACGCTTGTGTGTCCCAGCAGCTGCGGATCTTGCCAGCATATCAGTCCATGCTGAGCACGGCTCAGGAGGTGCCCGAGGGCTGGCTGATCTTCGTACAGGACAGAGAAGAGCTGTACGTCCGGGTGCGGAGCGGCTTCCGGAGAGTCCGTGTGAGTACAGGGTGGGGCTGATGAACAATGTTGTTACGGGAGGACAGGCTGCTATGTACATACCTGCGTCGAGATCGGTCTGCAGAGCACTGCAGGTGTGCCGGGGCCCAGCCAGGACCAGGTCTCTGCACCTGGCGCTGCCAGGCAAAGGCCCCAGTCCTGCACAGCACATGCCCTACGAGCAGTCCTGTGGAGGGCAGAGAAAGACCCACGGTCAATATGGTTGAGCATGTGTCTCTTGTCAGGATCAGGGCCTACGAGTCCAACCCTGCAGCCTGCTCTGCTCTCACAGACCCCTCATCCTGCAGAGGCCTCCTGGGCATTTCCAGCAGCAGGAGCTGGGCCTGGTGCCAGTCCAGCCATGGGCAGAGGCGAGATCTGAAGACCTCTGACCGTCGAGCTCCTGTATAAACAATGCAGGGTCATCCTGCGAGCTGGGCAGAATGGGGATGAGAAGAGCCCTGGCCATTCTCTGCTGACAGGCTGAATGAGGGCTGAGCATGAGACTGGCACATAGGTCCTTGGGGCTGCCACTTCCAGGAAAGAGCCTCAGAAACCGAGCCTGGCAGTGCCTGTTCTGTGTGCCACGGGGAGCAAACAGCACAGGGGCCATTTCCCATGCATGGGGCTCTCCTAGCGCCCATGGCCCAGCCTGTTCCTGGCGCTCCCTGCACCAGCGTGTGGGGGCCGGGGCAGTTTGATGGGGAGGGCAGGTTGGATTTAGTGCCGCCGCTGCTCCCAGGCGTGGTTTGCCAGAGCCATTGGCGAGAAGGGCACCCCCAGCCCTGTCCCTTGGGGATTAATGACACACAGCTAGTGTGGGGGGTGCCCACGCCAGGCCCTCTGAGCAAACTCATCTGGCTCCCTTGGCTGGGAAGCGGGAATGCCGGGGGCCCTGTCCAGGCTGGTGGGCCGGTTCTGGCGCCTCTGGGCTGCGGGCGAGGCAGACGTTGTTCCCAAGCCGGCACTGGGAGGGAAGCATGGGTTGGATCGTCACAGTGCCGGAACGCCACCCGGCTGTGGGGCTGGCAGAATTCTTCTCTCTGCTCTTTAGAAGCCCTCTACCATCCCCCAGCGTACCAGCACCCCCAGCTCCCCTTTCCGGTCGCTCCTGCTGGAGTCACGCCCCTGGCACTGCTGGGCCACTCACAGCCCCAGATGCTGCTTGCTAAGTAAGCATTGGCAGCCTCTTCTGCCTTCCAGCTCTGGGAGTCTGGCCTCCCACCCGCTCAGGGACACCCCCCACTACTGGGAATCTCCCCCCCACACCCCACCCGCCCAGGGACACCCGCCACACTGGGAATCCCCACACACACACGCCCCACATGCTCAGGGACCCCCACCACCACTGGGAATCTCCCCCCCACACCCCACCCGCTCAGGGACCTCCCCTCCACAGGGACTCTCCCCACATAGTAAGCACATGCTGAGCTGTAGCCCCACGCGTGGGTTTTCTGGCGCAGGCTCGAAGGGGGGTTTGGCTCTGGCCGGTCTGTGGTGAAGCCTGTGCTGTGTGTGGAGCTGAAGCATGCTGCCTGCCCCTTGCTCCTCCACAGAGCCTGGCGCTCTCTGACACGGGGGTGGTCACTGGGCAGCCCGCGGGCCACAGCCGCCCGCCAGCTGCTTTGGAATGGCCCCCAAAATCTTTTCCTTTCCTGACTGTTCTCACTGGTTTGGTGTGGCTGGACCCTGGCTCTACCTGGCCAGAGAGTAATTGAGCCTCCTTGCTTTGTTTCAGCTGGAGGAACACACTTCCATCTCCAGCCCCGGGCTGGTAAGTGAGCCCTTCTTTCTCCCCCCGAGAGCTGTGCGCTCAGGCCCACGGAGCCAGGGATCTGTCCTCCGGCTGGGCAGTGAGCATCGCGCTATCTCATGACAGGACAACGAAGTGTACGACAAGCCGCCAAGTGTCCACTACTCGCATGGCGGCACTGCCTCCTCTGGCTTCCTGCACCCACGCCGAGAGCACAACCCCTCCTCCACAGCCCGGCCCTGGCGAGCGGACGACAGCATCGCCAACCACCACCGCCTCCCCGACCACTCGCCCCACGGCGCCCAGCCCCAGCAAGAGCCATTGGACAGCTTCTCCCCAAATCGCCGGGGGGAGAGCGCCCCCTCTGCCATTCACAGGCACCCTGACTTCCAACCCGCCGTGAGTACTGCCCAGCCACAGCTGCCCCACCCGGCTGCTGCCCCCGCCGAGCGAGAGCAGAGCTGTGCGCAGCCCGAGGAGTTAGTGCCCTAAGCCAACCTACTGCAGTACAACACAGGCACTGTATGGAACGAGGCAGCTGGGCCCAACCTGTCAGAGACTGGGGTGGGGTGTCCCTGGGAAGAGTGAGAGGAAACGGCCCCCCGGGGTGTGCAGTCGCCTGCACTCAGGCTGAGAGCACGCACTAAAGCCAAGGGTCATGCTCAGCTCTACCATGCTCCTAATCCCCACCCACACCCCTTCTTCCAGCACTGTGCCCAGCCTGCCAGCCCTGCCCCGAGGCCAAATGGCTGCTCGGAGCCTGCCAGCCCTGATCCCTGTCAGGCAGATAGCACGTGGGCTGGCAGGAGAGCATGTGGAGAGGCAGGGACGCTACAGCACTCGGCTGGTTCTGGGGGTGCTGCCATTACTGGCTGGGCACACCAAGGATATCAGTGACCATTCCCTGCGTCCATGGGAGCATGCTGCAGAGATGCTGCTGGTAGCATTGGAGGAGGTGACCTCTGTGAGGAGCTACGTTGGAGCTTTCCCTGGAGCAGGCGCTGTTGCCTGCTCCCCATCTGCGGCAGTCTCTGCATGGCACTGGGAGGACACGACTGGTGGGTGGGGGCAGTGGCTCTGTGGGTGAGGGCAAGATGCCGATCGCCACTGGCCACAGCACGTCGGGTCCTCTTTGTCTTCTCGTTCCAGCTCCACCTGGTGGCGCTGAACGCCCCGCTGAGCGGCAGCATGCGTGGCATCCGTGGAGCTGACTTCCAGTGCTTCCAGCAGGCCCGGGCAGTCGGGCTGATGGGCACGTTCCGAGCCTTCCTGTCCTCCCGGCTGCAAGACCTGTACAGCATTGTGCGCAGGGCCGACCGGAGCGGAGTGCCCATCGTCAACCTCCAGGTACGCGGTGGGAGTGTACACACCCTGGGCTTAGCCTGTTAGCACTCGGAAAGGCTGGCTGGAGCACGGGCCTCTGGTAAAGGTGGACTGCACTTCTGTTCTCCAGCTCTGCCCCCACTGGCAGCACTGCTGGGGGCCTGCAATGCTGCTGAGCCCTGGGGCAGTTTGGTGCAGGCAGCGCATGTGTGGGAGTGCCAGCCCCACTGCATATGTGGCCCAGACCTCCACAAGCACAGGCCAGTGTGCAAGCGACGCATGCTGCAGACGCGAGTGCTGCCGTGCTCAGTGCAGCAAGCCCACCGTCAGCGCTTGGGGCGCAGGGCCTGATCCGACAAGTGGCGCTGAGCGCCCACAATGGTAGATGGGGATTGGGGCGCTTAGCACCTCTCAGGAAGCATGGGAGCCTCGTGCAGCCCATGGGCAGCCCCGCTTCCCGACGGCCGTCTCTGCTGAGTGCCGGAGAGGCTGGGCTCCCGCGCATCCCTTGCGGGGAGTGGGGCTCTGGTTGGTTTGTCGCATGCGCTTTCCCAGCAGACACTATTGCTGCGGTGCTGTGACTAGTTTTTCCTCCCAAAGGATGAAGTGCTGTTTAACAATTGGGAGGCGCTGTTCTCGGGCACAGAGGCTCAGTTCCGAGCTGGTGTTCGCATCCTCTCGTTTGACGGAAGAGATGTACTGAGAGACTCTGCGTGGTAGGTGTCGCAGAACGGCTGCCTCCTGCCGCTGCAGGGAGTGACCCATTGCTGTGCAACTGCAGGGTCCCCATGGCACGGGGGTCCCTTTCGGGCTGGCATTGAAGGGGACGGGGTTTCATGATTCCCAGCCAGCACCACGTGAGGCAAGTAAATGCCATGGGGAGAAGCTGCTGGCTCTGCCAGGAATGATCTGTCTGCTGTAGGAACAGTGCATGTGAGAATGGCTTGTTAGCCTCCCAGGGCAGGTGCTGGGCACAAGGCCACCTCCTGGCTAAGTGCAGTGTCAGGTACTGCGGTTAGCCTGTGTGCTAGGTGGTTCTGGGCCCAGTTCCCACAGGCTTGGACTGCATGTTGCTCCCCGGATCTGCCCTGCGTGCGGGGAAGCAGAGCCGTGATAGCTAGTGGGGGGAGATGACTCCTGCGAGGTGCCCGCAGTCACCAAGCTGGGCAGGGGGGCAGAACCTTTGTGTAACCAGCAGCAACCGGTAACAGGGGCAAGGAAGAGTGAGGGAGCGGATCTCCTTGGTCTGGGTGTTGTGAGTTCTCTGGCTAGTGCCTCGGTCTTCCTGGCTCAAACAGGGCCACGTGAACTCTGGGCCAGCCTTCCTGCCTGGCTAGCACGGCCTTGTCCAGCCAGCCAGGCTCCCCTGTGTGTGGGAGAACTGCCAGGCTGAGGGAGCTCACCGGGCCGCATTACTCAGGGCCTATCTTGGCTTTGTTTGTGGGAATGGAGGGATTTGCCAGGTTGCTGTCCTGGGGGGTTGGATGTGGTGGGGGCTCCATGCGAATGAGTGACACACGCTGAGCAGGGGGTCTCCGTGCTGGGCTGCTCTGGAAACTCCGGTTTTCCAGCCTCCCTCCCCAGGGCAGGTTTGATCCCGTCCCCCCTCCACACAGTCGCGGTCATCGTGGGGTTTTGTGTTTCATTGCCACCCAGGAAGCTGCAGGGAGGGAGCACTGGTAGCTCCGGCCTAGCCTGCTGCTCCTGCAAGGGAGGTGTAGCGGGGTGGACACCCGCTCCTGCCTGAAAGGGCCTGAAACAGCCCTGGGAGAAGGCTGGGGCAGGGAAGGCTGAGCTGATTCGGGGAAAGTGGCTGCAGCTGGGGCCATGCCCCAAACAGACTCAGCTGGCCCTATAAAGGCTGGGGAGCCAGGCGCGCAGACAGTCTCTCTCTGAACGCAGAGAGAGAAGGGCCTGGCTGCAGGGAGCTAGAGACAGAGTACCTGAGTGCAGCAGGGCTGCGGAAAGGCTGAGGAGCTGGGGAGCTCCAGCCTGGAAAGCCCCAGGCTGCTGCCTAGCATTGGGCCAAGGGGTACTGGGGGTTGCAGAGGGCAGCCCGGAGGTAGGCCAAGGCAGCAGGTCCAAACCCAACCTTGCCAGTGATGAGTGGCTGATACTGCAGTCTGCCCCGGGCGTGGGGCTAGATGGTGACTGGCAGTAGCCTTATTCTGAGGCGAGGTGGGGTTAGTGGGTGAGGGTTCCCCTGGGAGGGGAGACCCAGCGTGTGGGGGTACTGCCAGGGGGCAGCACCCAGAGCAAGGGACACCGGGGTCCTGGGAGGGACACAGGAGCCAGCAGAGGACAGGGTGGATCACCGGCCTGCAGAGGGCACTCCGGAGGCTGGATTGAGCTGATTCCCCAGACCAGCAGGAGGCGCCACAGGGGTGAGTCCGACCCCTTACAGGAGACCAGGGGTTGGTTGGGGGGGGTCTCTTGGCAAACTGTGCCACTCCAGCCGTTGCTCGTGCCCATGGGCTTGGCAGTGAGCTGTTGCCTTGTGTTGCAGGCCTCAGAAGAATGTCTGGCACGGCTCTGACACCAAGGGCCACCGGCTCACAGAGAGCTACTGCGAGACATGGAGGACGGACGATGGCGTGGTGACAGGCCAAGCCTCCTCGCTGGCCTCGGGCAAGCTCCTGGAGCAGAAGGTGAGCAGCTGCCAGAACACCTTCATCGTCCTGTGTATTGAGAACAGCTTCATGACCTCTTCCAAAAAGTGACCTGCCCCCGCCCGCGCCTCGGAGCACAGAGAGGAGGGACCCCAACGGGGCAGCCGCTTCCCCCTTCACACAGCCATTCCCAGAGAAGCAGATGAAAAGCCAAAGAGTGTTGAGTTAGTTTGAAACGCCAGCCTGGTGCTGGCCGGCATCTGGAGGGCTGAGCCGGCTGGCTGTACTGGCCATCTCCTCATCTCCGGTGTACACGCAGTGGGTCTCTCTCTTTTAATCCCTCTCATATTTAACCAGGTTAGTTGTATTCTTGGGTGAACTCTCCTTGGTTCCCTGTTTTTCCCCCTTGCTAGGACAGTCGTCACAGGGAGGGCCCCGTGGTCCCCACGCGGGGTGCCGGAGCACGAGATGCTCTTCGCTGAGATGGGGAGGCCAAGCGGGAGAGCTGGCTGCACGGCCAGTCCTTGTGCTGTGGGGTGGGTGACGGCCCCAGCTGGGCAGCACTCTGGTCTCGTTAGCAGTCGGAGCAGTGCAGGCTGTCACCAGCTCAGCTCTACTGCTCGGTCTGTGACATCCCAGGGCTTGCTGTCTGTCGCTGGCCGTGCACCCTGCGGGGGCTCAGCTGGGTGAAAGGCCCTGAGTCTCTAGCTGTGTCCCTGTCTGCAGGTTGGCTTCCCCCTCAGCTTGGTCTGATAGCCCCTGGCTTCGCCTCCCTTCCTCCATCTGTTCCAGGGCAGCTGGAGTGGGACCAGGCCCCCAGCCCCAGGTGCCTCTCAGCTGGCAGTGGGGTTCCTGCTGGCGGAGCCCTGCTTCCCACAGTGGGTGGCGAGAAGTGGGTTCCTCCCATGGCATGGGTAAGCTGTTGGGGGTAGTACTTCAGGAGCTGCCGGGGGGGGCGGGCTGTTCTTTGAAAACAGAGTCATTTCCTTGTTGGAAGAACCAAACGGGTTAGTTATAAGAGGAAAGTCAAATGGAGGCCAAATCCCCGCCCCAACTGTTCTGTGCAGTGTCTTCCCCATTGCAGGACACTGGCTAGCTGAGGGGGGGTGCCCTCCCCACACCTCCACTGGCTAGCCCAGCCGATCCACACCAAACCCTGGCCAACATGTGCCTTACTCTGGTTAGGGACAAGGGAGAGCAATGCATGCGCTGATGAGGGGAATGAATGTACTCTCCTTTGCTTGGGGGTGGGGGGAAGGGGCATTTCCTTGAGTACCAGAGGGCAGATTAAAAAGTACCTGTTCTAGCAATACTGGGTGTCAGGGCCAGGAGGTTTTGTGACCTCCATGAGCATTATGGGGTGGAGATGCTTCTTTGCTGCCATAAAACCTGACTTCCAGAGGGAGCCCCAGCCCATGACAGGCAAGTTTGAATGTTAGGAGAACGTCTGGGTGTGGGATTTAAGGTCCCATACTGCAGCTGAGCATCATCAGCTCCAGGAGAATGTCCCACCTCAAAGCCAGAAGCCTTCCACACACGTCTATGCTCCTCGTGTACCATCCTTGTGAAGCACTAATGTCTAAAGGATTTTTTTAATCAGTTTTGAAAATCTGAGGTGCTACATTTTTAACTAGCTTCTTATTGTACTGAAATTACCATAAAGGCTGTGCAAGTCACACAATTCCTGTTTCTTATTGTCTACTGTATTTGTGTAATTAATGCAATTTAAAGCCTGTGGATTTTTGTTTTTTTGTCAGTTGTGTTCTTTAAACCGTTTTCTAAAGGCACTGAATAAAGGAAAGTCTCCTCTTGTACTCCCAGTCATTTGGCTGTGAAGACAGATGTACGGGTGTGAATGCACGGAGCTAGCCCTTACGAAACGCAGACAGAAGGTCAGAGGAACACCTGCATGAAGATCTTCTGCAGTGTCTCATTCTGGTTTCTATTGGAGTCTGGCTGACACCCTGAGACAGGAGATTTCCTATCCCTTCCAGAATCTGTCACCATTAGGGCCCTACCAAGTTCACGCCTGTGAAAAACACATCACAGGCCATGAAATCTGGCTGTTTAGGGGAGTGGGGCTCCTATCACATGCCGGACTCCAGCGGCTGGGCTGGGCTGGGCTGGCTGGGCTGGGTAGGGCTTTCCTCTTCCCCTGCAGAGGCCACTCTCAGGGCTGGGACCTGGCTGGCTGGGAGCCCAGCTCTGAAGTCTGTGCAGAAGTGAGGGTGGGCTGTGGAGTCAGAGCAGTTGTGGAGCTGACACTGCCCATGCAGAGAAAGAGAAAGTCCCGTCCCTCCCCAGCCCAGCCGGGACTAGCAGCTGTCAGTCTTGGCATTTCTTGTGCCATGTGAATGCTTGGGAAGCTGAGACCCCCGGGGCTGTGCAGTGCAGGTGGAACGCTGGCTGGGCTCTGGGGCTGGCTGGGGGAAGAGCCCAGCATCCGCGTAGCATTGGCGTCGCTGCCCCTGATCTGCTGTGCTAGCAGCTGATTCCCCAGCTCCATGGTCACAGGCTGAGGGAAACAAGTTACCCAAGGGGTGGCAGTGAGGCCCCAGCCCAGCTCCAGCTGTGGCGCTCCCCATGGGAAGGTGGTGTGTCAATAACTACCGAGCACAGGCCTAGCAGAATCAGTGTTGGTGTGAAATCCAGCCCCGCACCAGCTCGCTGCTTCCCCTTTTGGCTGCCAGGCACAGGTAGCACAGTGCCGGATGGGACCTGGCTGGCCAGGCCCCCGGGCTGTGGGTCAGACACGCCCCTAGCACTGCGCTTCTGGACAGAGCCCCAGGCCGCTGCATCCCTAACATTGCAGTGCTGGCCAGAGCCCCCATGTCCCTAGTGCTGCGGTGCCAGATGGAGCCCTGGGCCCCCAGTGCCGTGGTGCCGCACAGTCTCACACAACAGGCTGCAGCAATTGTCCAGCCTGGGTTAGGAAAGTGACTAGCTGAACACCTGGGAGCTAAAGGCAGGCCCTGAAATCCCAAAGAGGGTGATGGATCCTGGCGGTGCCTGGTGCCTCCCAGCCACGGGGGCTGTGGCCATGCACTAGGCTGTGGGCCAGTGCTGGTGCCCAGCTGGGAGGGAGCAGCAGGTGGTGGGCAGAGAACAGGGCTGGAGCTGTTCTGGGGAAAGGGCCTTCTTTGGGGGGGCGGGGGGCTAGATGAGCAGGGAGTTGATTCCTCTTTCATCGGGGTGACCCCCCGAGCCTGCCCCTGTGTACTGGGACTGATGGTACCCTGGGGCTGGAGCAATCGCACACGGGGCCTGCGCTGGCCGAGCCAGGCAAGATGGTGTGCAGGGGCTGGCCTGGCTGGGAGCGACCGTGTTGGGGGGCCGGGGTAGAGTCCAGGCTGCAAGCAGGCTCCTGGGATGCCCTGACCTATGTCCGGCCCCCAGGGCCCTTGCCTGCTGGCAGCTGACTCAGAGTTCAGCTGGTACCAGGCACTTGGATGAGAAAAGGGCTGCTGCTGGCTGCCCTCTCCAGTGTGGCTAGCAATGCACCCTGGGGATAGGGGCGGGAGCCAGGCAGAGCCTTTTCAGCCAGCATCCCATCACGGGTGCGGGGGAGGGTGGGACACGGAGCCTAGCACTGCCAGCACAACAGCCCTCATGCCAGGCTGGACTTTACACAGGACCAGCTAAGCAACAGAGCTGAGGCCCTCAAAGCCCCCCTGCTAGGACACTGTCCTGCGCTGCGCCAGGCCTGAGTGGGGGCTGCCGGCCACACAAGCCCAGGGGCTCAGCAGTGCCTGGGCCCAGTGACATGATGTGGGCGGGTAGGACAGAGAGGCCTAGTGATTTGCTGTGCTTTTCAGGCCTGCCCTGTGCATGGGCTTATCTGGCCTGCCCGGCGGCAGGAAGAGCCAATGCAGGGGCACAGCCAGCATGGCATCCACCCACAGCAGGCGACAGAGAGCCAGCCTCTGGGGCTACACTGCAAACACTACATTTCAATGGTTTACAGGGCATCCAGCCCAGGGTCTGACCCAGAAGTAAACTGACTGATTGTACATTCCCGGGTCTCTCTTCTGAATGCCTGTGGCACGCTGGTGAGTAAGGGCAGTGTAATGTCTGTAGTAGCCCTGGCTGAGGCCTTGGCTACTCATTGTTCGTATGTGTCAAAGTCAGACCAAACACAGGGTGAAATGGGTTTTTCTCCCAGGCAGCCACCTACCTGTCTCCAGTGTAAATGGAGCATTAGGGACTGGAAGTGTTACATACAAATCAACAGGAACCTGGCAGCCTCTTGTCACAGGGTCACTGACCTTTGGGCGCCATCCACAGCCTGCCATGTTGGGCCCAAGCATTTTGCCCTCTGTGCAGGTCCTGGCCGGGAGCCTGGCCAGCCAGGCTGGACCAGCCTCTTGCAAAGTCTCATTGGTCAATCAGATTTCAGGCGGCGCAGCGTCGTTTTACTTTTGTATGCGTGTAACCCCGTCTAGCTTTATTCAACATGTGGTAGCGCTTAGCCCTGGGACAGTTTGTTACTAAACGTGGTTTACATTCATGATGAGCCAAGGGGGTGCACTAATGGAAGGGTGGGTACAGCTGCCCCTCTGAAGCTAGCAGGCTGTGTATTGGCTCTTTAAAGCAACAAAAGAACCTTACTACCGTGTGAGCGTGTGCAGTAAGGGGCCTGGCCGCTGCCGGGAGATGTTGCTGGGGAATTTGGGAGTTGGGGGGTTCACAGTTTAAGGCACGGTTTAGATTGGCAGAGCCCTGCAGCGTTTGCTGGCATGGCTGGGAGCTGGAACGCAGCTTAGCAGTATTAAAACGCTCCCTGGCTGAGATTGAGGCTGGTGGGGAGGGGAAGGGTAACGACATCACGCACAAGGCGGGGCGCCCCAGCAGATTGTCACAGCGGGGTATCTGCTCCTGGCCATGTGCACAGAGGGCAGCACGTGGGCGTGAGCCGCAGCACTGCCCATCAGGGCACAGGCTGCTGTGCGCCACTCTCCAGCACACAAGGGTTATGGCCCCAGTGGCCACCGCTGCACCACGGTGCAGGCTGCAGACCCGAGAGGAGCACAGTGGCTGAGGGCAGCAATGGGCCCCCTCGCTCCGTGCTGGGCTGGAAAGGGCTGCCAGATGCCTCCCCGCACTTACAGCCGCCTTCCCCCCGCCACAATCTGTTACAGTCAGCTGATGTGTGCCAGGCAGGAGGGCACAGCTCACCTGCCCCTCTCAGCCCAACCCAGCGATACAGCCCAGCCCCCACCTTGGGCGAGGAGAGCCAACCACGGTCCCGCTTGGGTCGAACCTCCCTGGCCGTATGCAGTATGGGCCACAGTTATGCCACAAGGCCCCGGGTTAGTGCAAGGACTTTCCAGCCCCGTAGTACAGGGCAAGGCTGCTCTGTGGGCCATGCTGTAAAGCTACGGAGCCATGTGTGGGGAGGGCCTGGCTGGCCCTCCTGGTGCGGCCGTAGATTCAACGCCAGAGGGTCAGATGCTTTGTGCAGAGGGGCCCAGGGGAGCCGGCGTGGAAGCGGCTGGCTAGGGCAGTAGCAGCTGCAGTGGCTGCACAGGTGCCATTCAGACAGTTGCTGAAGCAGTGCATTGGCGGGGGGACGCATCGGGTGAAGTGCTCCAAGCCCCAGAGCCTGAAGACAGGCGATTACACGGGACACTCAGCTTTCACTACGAAGAGCACACTTCTAGCCTTTGTGGAGCAAAGCTGGAACACAGGACCCATGAGGGCTGACACCAGACGCAAAGAAAAGAGCCTCAATGGCTTGTTTTAGCAACATCTCGGGTGTAGTCCCCTCCTCATGTTCTGGGAGGAGCCTAAGGTGAGTTTGGTACGCTTGGCACAGGTCACCCCGAATGAGTGTGTGTGCGCGCAAGTGTCTATTGGGAAAACCCGGCCCAGGAACCGCGTCAGTAATGGAGCTGTGTCACTCAAAGCAGCAGCCCTGGGGCCAGGCCTGGCGCTGGGATGGGATCTCCGGGTTTGCGCCGTTCTGTCCTCAAAGGCCGTTCTTAACACTGGGGTTTGCATGGTGCAGCTTCTGTCAGCACTGAGGCTGTGATGGGAGCGGCGGCTCTGCCAGCAGTGGCAGTCTGGGGACCAAGGGTGCGCACAGCCCTGGGGATTGGTGGCCCCTACAAGCTAGGATAGGACTGCAGCCCCACCCTGGCCTGCGCTCCTTGCTTTCTCAGGTGCACATTGACACTGTGAGGAAGGTGAGAGGACCGTGGCCAGCCATTCCCTGGGACTATGATGGGCTGGGGTGTGCACACAGGCCACTCCCTCGGGTCTCCTCTCCCAGATGCACTCAGATGTGCACGCTGCCCGGCTCCGAGCTCCTCTCCTTCCCTGGTGCCTCCTCAGCAGGGCTGCCGAGCTCCTTGGCGAACGCCGGCTCCTGCGGCACCTTGCGCCGGCGGTGCGTCACGGCCACACACACCGCTGCCCCCAGGTACACCACTGCCAGCAGTGTGAAGTAGGCGAAGTACACATAGAACTGAAGGGGAGAGAGAGCACACGACACCAGAGCCCAGGTTAAACCCACAGCCTGCCCCCCCTCAGTCAGCCAGCGCTGCCCTGCCTTGCTGGCTTACACCAAGGGGTTAATGGCAGCTGGGGACAGGGCTGACCCCCCTCCCCCACCCTTCCCCCCTGCACTTTCTGTACCCAGCAGCAGGTAGCCACTTAGCTCCCCGATAACGGCTGTATGATTGGGGGGCACAGCTGCACTGGGGCTTGGAGGAGCGGAAGGGAGCTTGGGGCAATGGGGGGAGGCAGCGGGGGCCAGGGGCAATGGGGGGATGTGGAGGCCAGGGGAGGCAGCAGGGGCCGGGGCACCATTTTCCCTAAGGCTGGCCCTGTCCCCACGCTGAAGGCTGGACCCAGGGGAGCAGGGAGTGGGCTGAGGGCAGTGAGGGATGCTTTACTGGCAAGGATGAGAGGCTAGAGTGCAACCCCCATCTTTGACCGCCGAGGCTTTGGGGCCTGCTGGGAAGAGCAGAGTTGCACTCCAGCTGAAGGACACAAGAGGAGCCCAGGTGTGGCAGAAGATGCTGGCGTGTGATATGTGGGGGTGTCATGTCATGGGATTTTAAGGACTACGTACACGGGACTGATAACTAGACCGTTTGGGGAGTTATGTTTTGGAAAATGTGCACAAGGTTTTTGTAACAAACCAGCCCCAAGGAGGGGTACTACCAAGGCAAGACAGCCTAGTGTGGAGTCCTTGCGTTACCTGAGAAGGAAACTGAGGCAGGCACACTAGTCATGCCATGGCCTGTCACAAGAGGGTGCTCCAGGTGGCTCTGTGACAGGGACACTGTTAAATTGGCCCAAACAACCTTAACTTTGCCCCTGTCCAGCCACCAACCTCCCAACAGCCCCCTACTAGGCAGGGTGCTATATTTCCCATCAGCCATTTCCCCAGTGAGTTGCTCCTAAGCACGTGTTCATTTCCCAGGGCTTGGGGAACTGGGCAGCCTTCGGGCTCGGCTCCCATTTGGGAAAGTGAGCAGCAGAGAGGCACAGACCTGGCTCCACGGGCAATGTATGAGCAATCCCCGTCCAAGCCAGCCAGGGCACTGGTCCCGCTGCACGCTGGGTTCGAGGCTGTTTCAAAGGCTTTGCTGGGGCTCTAGGGCTGACTCAACCACTCCCCGAATGCCGCTACGTCAGCCCTGAATGCACACTCAGGGGCGGGGGGGGGAGCAGCTGTTTGCAGCTGAGCTTGTAGCAGGCGCTTCCCTAACAATGGGGAAGGGGCAGGGAGGAAGCCAGGCGAACGTTGTCATGAGCTAACTTGGCCTGCAGCGCCATCTGGCAGGGGCCAGCTCAAGTGCAAAAGGGGTTTCAACATGATATGGGTCTAGGGCGGGCACAATAACCAGCCAGGGCAGAGCCAGATGGCAAACCAGGCGAGCAATACAGACCACTAGTCACACCCCTGCCCTGCGCTGCCCGCCCATGGGCTACTTTCATGGCTGTGGGCAGTTTCCCTTATCCTGCCCAACCACCAAACAGCCCTGCCATAGGCTTCTCGGCCTGGGCCAATCCGACCCACTCGGCCTCCTGAGTGGCTCCCCACTGGCAGCCGCGCAGCCCCCTTACCTGCGGATGCACGGAAAGGCCCAGGCCCCGCTTGTCTGATATGATCATGGTTATGATGGTCTTCAGGACGGTGGCAAAGAAGGTGTTCACGCCAAACACCAGGGCACAGAGCTCTTTGGAGAGGGAGGTGGCAATCTGGAAACTGCCATCAAAGCGAGAAGAAAGCAGTCACTCAGCGTCTGCATCTGTCTGACAGCAAACGTACAGCCAGTGCCACTATCGCCCTGCCCCTGCCGGAACCTGCGGGGGCTACACCAGCTGACTCTGGCCCGGCCGAGGAGATCCGTCCCCATGTGCATGTGACGTGTCCGTCTGCCTGTGCTCTGACAGCGCGCTGCCCTGCCGGCTGGCTGTTCTCCCAGCTGCTCACAGCCGAGCTGTGGTTTATAAAGCAGGGGTAGGAGTTCCTGGCTAGGGCCTGTGCGATCCATTGGGATCTCTACGAGAGGCACAGGGTGGGAGTTACCAAACGCCTGGTTACAGGAGCGCTCAAGGGGCCCCGAGTCTCAGGCTAGGTCTACACTACCAGCCTGAATCGGCGGGTAGAAATCGACCTCTCGGGGCTCGATTTATCGCGTCCCGTCGGGACGCGACAATCGATCCCCGAATCGACGCTCTTACTCCACCAGCGAAGGTGGGAGTAAGCGCCGTCGACAGGAAGCCGCAGAGGTCGATTTTGCCACCGTCCCTACAGCGGGGTAAGTCGGCTGCGATACGTCGAATTCAGCTACGCTATTCGCGTAGCTGAATTTGCATATCTTAAATCGACCCCCCCCTGTAGTGAAGACGTAGCCTCAGAGGATGCGCTCACTCAGCACCTCCCAAAATCCCACCCCCAGGCCCTGAGGAAATACGCCACACACAGTTCCTAGCATGCCCACCTCCTGCCTTAGGCTGGCAGAGCCCAGCACTGCGTCTGAATGTGCAGTGCCTGTGGCCCACTGTCACCAGTGGGCTTCCCTCTGCCACTTCAGCCTTCGGGGCGGCAGACCTGCCCACTCCACACCAGGGCAGTTGGAGCCCATCTAAGCCCTAGAGGCTGTGCTGAGGGAGTGCTGCAGGCCTGCCTGGGGCTCCTGCAGGCTCCAGTTCCAGTGTGCTTTGGGCTGAAGAGAGTGGTGCTGCTGTACCCGCACCCGTAAGGGGCTGGAGAAGGCAGGTGCCATGCGAGCACAGCAGTGACCGGCCTTAGCCTCAGGCCTGGACCAGTCAAGGGCCGGGGGTTGGGATGTACATCACTGGAAACGGTCCCACCTACAACTCACACAAACCCCATGCCACCCAGCCCCACTAGGTACTGCACCAACGTGGAGAGCAAGGGTCAGCAGGCCTCTCTGGATGTGGGCTGAGGTGCCCCACCGGAAAGCCCAGGCTGCATGGGCCCTGTCTCCTTGGTGGAGGGGGAGCCCAGCCCCCAGGCGCAGCTCAGGGCCAGTCGCCAATCCTTCACTGCAGCACACATTCTCTGCCCTCTGACACCAGCTCACCCGCTGGGGGAGTGGCTGACCCGGCGTCCAGATGTGTCCCTGTTACTAGTGGGGGACCCAGCAGAGCGAGACACCCCAACTCACATGGCTATGGGGACCAGGAACTGGTAGGAGCCCCTGAACAGGATGTAGGCCCCGTAGCAGAGCCAGATGTTGCTGGTGGTGCTCATCAGCAAGAGCAGCCCAGCCTGGAATGCCGTCACGCCGCCAATCACCAGTTCCGACCACAGCGCCCAGCGGATCTTCACATAGCCCGCAGTGAAGGCAGTGATGGCACCTGGGGAGACAAGGCGTCAGTGACTAAAGGCTGCCTGCAGGGTAGGGCCCGTGCCTGCGGCAGGAGCCTGCCTGGCTGCACTTGGTGCAGTGGTGCCAGGACGTAATCCAGGGCCACACGGAGATGGCAGCACGCAAGGAACAGATGAGTGCAGCTGGGCCTCTGTAAGCTCACCACTCACATCCCTGTCTGCCCCAGCGAATGAGCACCAGTCACTCTGCCATGGACTGCCCTACCAGCCCTGGCTCTGCCCCTCAAGCTCTGCCTTTCCCGTGGGACACACTCACTTGGCAGGCACCAGCACTGCTGTGAGCGTGGAGCTGCGGAGAGTCTGGGGGGCTGTGCTGAGGTGCTTGTGGCCTGCCATGCAGCCATCTCCACTCTCTGTCACCTCCCTTCAGCCAGCCTACGAGCCCCTCAATGCAAAATGGCAGAGTCGTCACTTCTCTGCCAGCAACTCCTCCAGGCCTGACAAACTCACTGCACCCAACACACTGCTCTTCTAGGACTGATCCAAAAAGTATGTTGTGAGGGCTCAAACGAAAGTGCTGACACACTGCTCGCTAACGCCACTGTGAAATGCATGTACTGACACTAGTAAAGGAAGCGTGTGCTGAATCATGTATTAAAGTCTGTACCAAGGCCAAGTGGCCAACCCGGGCTTCTGCCAGACACAAGCATGGCTAGTCCCTGTCCCTGATGGACAGCAACAATGCAAGCCCCACTGCCATGTGACGTCAACAGGAAAAGCAGGCTGACGTGAAAGCAAGGGGGAACCTCACCCGAGGACAAGCAATGGGGGAGAAGCGCTTTATGAGGGGCTGCACTTCAGAAGGGGCATCTCCAAGGGTTACTGGCCTGTCAGAGGGAGGGAAAAGGACCCCTGGCTCATCCGTCACTGAGGATACTAGCGGGACATGTGGGCTCGTGCTGCGGGGCGGTTGCTCGAGGTGAGAAGTCGCTGTAGACAAGGAGTTTAGCCTGACAGAGTGAAGTTTAGACTCTAAGAAGCGTGTTATCCCCTTTGTTTTACACATAACTTGGTGTTCCTATTACCGTTGCTCTTAAAGCTTAATCTTCGTAAATAAACTTGCGTGTGTTGTCACTGTGACTAGATCTGTGCTGGTTGTTCTGAAGGCCTGATCCTGAGCTGTGCCAGTCAAGCTGTGCGCACACTGTCTCTTCGGGGACAGCTTACCTGGTCATTTCTGAGCGTGGCAGTGACAGGGGCTGCATGCTGCAGGGAGCGCACTGAGGACTCCGGGCTTGCTGTGTGTCTGTCACTAGCCGCAACAGAGGGGGCGAGTGTGCAGAGACCTGGTAGTCAGTGCTTGTCTGTGGCCACAGGCTGGAGGTTTCAGGGAGCAGAGCTACACAGGCACAGACAAGACTGCTTCCTGCTCAGGGCAGGTGGTGGTGAGGTCTCTCACAACCCGGGGCACCCCTCAGGAGCACCACACAGCCACCTCAGCCCCCTGCAGCGTCCAGATGGGTCCTATGGGGTGCATGGCCCAAGTATCATGAGGGTAACAGGTGTGAGCTATTGCAAGCCCAGGAGTTTTAACTCAGAGAGAGTCCCTGGGAGGATGGTCAGTGGCTAGGGACGCTCCCTGGCTAAGTGCTTTCCCAACCTGCTGCTGCATGCGCAGGCCCAGCTTTACCTCTGCACCCTCCAGAACCAACTGTGATACAGCCCCAGAGCTCTGGCTACAGCTGGAGCTGTGAGACTGACTCAGGGCAGGCCTCCCTTCCCCGCTCACTACAGGCTGCTAAGCCAGGCATTCTTCGGCTGAGTGCAACAGGTCAGACAGCTTCCGTGCTGCAAAATTCAACAGTGAGTTCAGTGCTCATGAAAATGGAGGCTAAGCTCTCCAGTCTGGGGACAGGCCCAGTGCAGGCAGATGCTCTGCGTGCTCCTGCACTCGGCCCGTGGCTACATGGGAAAGCTGCACCCATGTAACAACAGGGGAGATGGCAAACTCGTTTAGTTAAATGGGCGCAAACCCCTTGGGTGGACACTGATTTTGGGTTAAATTTGGGGTCTAGTTTACGTCAAGGAGGGACAGATTTAAACGGCTCTTAAACCCAAATCGGAGCATCCACACGGGTTGGCATCTCATTCGCTAAGCCATTTGACACTCCCGGTGCAGTTAAACTAGTGCAGCTTTGCCCAGCTGGGACTCCTAGACCCTGCCCGCTCCCATTCCAGCAGGGGCCTGCCTTGTGCAGAAACGCGCCGTGCTGGGCCACGCATTGCAGCGGCTTTGCAAGGGCGGCAGACTGTGAAAAGCGACTCGCCTCCAGCTGGGAGCTAATCCCCTGTGCGGAGCAGCTTTTGTTTCAGAAAAGCCCAGCGAGGTCACATGCGGCGCATTCCTGGGGAATTAGTGCCTGGCTCAGGACATGCCAAGTGTGGGGCTCATGCCTCATAATCCCCTTGGCCTCCAGAGCCCTTCCCTCTGTCTCATGCCTCGTAATCCCCTTGGCCTCCAGAGCCCTTCCCTCTCTCTTCCTGCTGGGTAGCGCTACACAAGCCCACGGAGACCCCTTTGGGCACCACGCAGCGCAGGGGAGCGAGGGGGGACCCCCGGAGGCAGACAGGGCCGTGTACCGAGCAGCGTTGAGGCGGCATCCACCCCGCCGTTGTAGACCTTGCGGTTGTCCGTGGTAGGGTAAATCTCATTCCACAGGAGCTGCACGTAATAGAGCATGAGATAGTAGCCGGCAGAGTTGAAGATCCACCACAGGGACCAGAGCCGCAGCTGGGGCAGCTTGGTGATAGTGCCGAGCTCCCTCAGCATACGGAAGAGGGCCGAGCTGCGCCAGTGGGAGGGCGCGGGGGGCACGGGCTTGTCCCCGACTGGGTGCATCCTGTCCAGCTCTGAGGGGGCGGGGGCACCACTCTGGTTGAAGAAGAGGCTTCGCTTGGGCTGCTCCAGGAAGAGCGTCAGGATGAGCCCAAAGAGCATGAACCCCAGCGAGACATAGTTGAGCGTCACGAAGGGCACCCCGCCCACGGTGACGCAGAGCTGCCCCAGCACCGAGCTAGTGAAGACCCCCATCAGCACGGCAGAGCGGGAGTAGCTGGCCATGCGCTGGTAGTGCGAGGGGGTGACCAGGGAGAAGATGTAGGAGGAGTAGGCCACGCGGGCCGCCATGGTGATGCCGTAGAAGAACTCCATGAACTGCATGGCCAGGATACTGGTGCCGAAGATCAGCAGCAGCCAAATGGAGATGTGGCTCAGGCTCTGCAGCACGAGCACCGGCTTGTAGCGCAGGTAATCCGTCAGCAGGAAGATGGGCACCAGGACAGCCATGTAGGAGTAGGACAGGACGGGAGTGATCTCGTTGGTCACCTGCAAGACACAGCAAACCAGTGGGAGCAGGAAACAGGCAAGCTCTGAGCCTCAATGCTCACATCCACGTCGCCACACGAAGGCTGCAGAGCCAGGGACGCTAGGATGCGGGGCAGGCTGGTGGCGGCAATGCCTTCTGACTGGGGTGCTCCGCAGCTGCTGGGAGCAGGCAGCCCACGATGCCTGGATACAGATCCTGGCACCTCGTTTAGCCACTCATCACAACTTTGCTCTGTCCTTTTCCCAGCATTGCTCTATCTCGGTGGTCCCCAAACTCTGGGGGAGTGCAGAGAAACATCCAGGGGGGCATGGTGGGGCCCAGGCCAGCCCCCACTAAGGGGCGGGGAGGGAGCACCACTCAGCCCCCAGCTCTGCTCCTGGCCCTCAGCCCCAGCCACGGCCCTGCTCCCAACAGTGACTTGGCCACGGGCCCCTGCTTTCAGCTCCCGGCCACCATCACTCCCCTCCAGGCCCGGGGTGGGGGGCACAGACACATTCTATTACTGGGGGTGGGGGGCCAGAGGAAAAGTTTGGGTATCACTGCTCTAGTGACAGGACTGCACAAGCTCAGCCTTGGAAGCCAGTCTGCTCTGGAACCCCGATGGCCGGGCACTTCAGCAAACGGTCGGAGTCAGAAACACCCCAAATTCCCCATCACCCAGCCAGGGCTTCCAGCATAGTAGCCAAGAGCTCTGCCAGGTGAGGTTCTGGGTGCAGGGGAATCTGGATGCACAGGGGCTTGTTGGGGGGTCTGGGTGCAATGGTAATGGGACTCTGCAGGAGGGTCCAGGTGAAGGTGGTTGGGGCTCAGCAGGGGGAGAGTCTGGGTGTTGGGAGCTTAATGGGGGTGTCCAGATGCTGGGGAAGTGGGGTTCAGTGGGGTGGGGATCCAGGTGCAGCTAAATGGGGCTTGGTGGGGTGGGGATCCAGGTGCAGGAGGAGTAGGGCTCATCGTGGGGGGGTGAGGCTCAGCAGGAGGGTCTGGGTATGAGGGGGTTTGGATGCACAGAGGAGCAATAGCTGCAGGAAGCGGGGGGTGGGAGGGGAGTTTGCAGAGCTTCCTGCTCCTGCAGCCAGCGAGAAATCTGGGGGTGGGTCTGACCTGGCCCCGGATGCTGTGCAAGAGAAAAGGAAGTCCCGTCCTCCCCAGCCCAGCCAGGACAAGCAGCCGAGCCCATCTCAGGGGAGGAGCCACCAGCCGAGTCTTCTCCCGTCCCGCCTCCTCCCCACAGTGATTTACCTCTCTGCCGGCTTCCCTGGGCACCCAAAACATACTGCTGGGGAGGGTCACATGACCGCTTTTGTGGCTTCCCTTTGCTTCCCCGTTAGAAAGTCGGCAGGGGACGTAAATTCTGTGCATGCACAGTGGCGCAGAATTCCCCCAGGAGTATAGATTGCATGAATGCTCCCACAGCCACTCATGAATCACACAGAGAAAGGCACCAACCAAACTGCCCCAGCTCCCAGCCTTGTACCTCAGGAATATACCATCTTGCACTGCTCAAGACGACCAGTGCAAGTTTATTAATTGGTTCACCACTTCATCAATGGAGAGTGGATATACACCAGCCTTTGTAAACCTGAACAGATTTACCAACCACTTCAGGCAAACTCACTGGTAAAGATAAACAGTAAAACAAGTTTATTGACTATAAAAGATAGATTTTAAGTGATAGGCAAAAAGTCAGAGTGCTTACCAAAAAAAAAGAAAATATAAGCACGCAGTCTAAACTCTCACCCCTGTTAGACTGGGCAATAACTAGATTAAGCAATTTTCTCACCCTGCTGGATATTGCAGTTCATAGTACACAGGTATCACCCTTGAAACCTGGGCCAGTCTCCTCGTTGGAGTCTTCCATGTTCTCAGTATCCTTGTTGCTAGTTGCAATGTAGGTGGGGGAAGGAGAAAGGCCAAGCATGGGGCCCCGTGTTCTGTTTTATACCCTTAGGGCTTGACTACACTTGGCCGCGGCAGCGCTGTGAAGCACGAGTGTAGGCGCGCCACCAGCGCTGCGAGAGCTCTCGCAGCGCTGTATGTACTCCACCTCTCCGAGGGGAATAGCTTACAGCGCTGCGAGCGAGCGTGCAGCGCTGCAGGCACTGATTACACTGGCGCTTTACAGCGCTGTACTCGCTGCACTCAGGGGGGGTGTTTTTTCACACCCCTGAGCGCAGCAAGTTGCAGCGCTGTACAGCGCCAGTGTAGCCAAAGCCTCAGTCCATGTGCTTGGAGAACACAAGTCCAGGCATGTCTGGGGGGCATTGCTGAGTCCGCAGGCAAGGTTGAGCAATTCCCCTGGTGTGGCCTTATGCAGGTGAGTCATTGATTTGTAGCTCCCTTACTGGACAATGGCTGTTGATGGTTGTTTGACACCTGCCCGGACATTAGTTACTTTTCTTGCTGTTGTCTCTGGGGAGATACTATCTGGTCGATTCCCCAACTTACAGCCTGTTTTACTGACGACCATACAACACAATCTCACAAGTTCATATGCACTAATGATATACATATTTAGATAGAACAGTGACTTTCAGCAGCTCATAACCTTTCCCCTGAAGTCTTACAAGGCATGCTTTATATGCAAGATCACAATTATACATAAATAGAAATATGGGGGTTACAGGGCACTCCCCCGAGCTATAGTGTCTCACAGGAGCCTGTTGTCCCATAGCCAGCTGATACTGCACTTTGCCATAGAAGCATCTCCACTCCCTACACCAGGGCACATCCAAAGGGGGGGATGATTCAGGCCCTGCTCCCTGCCAAACACTCCCCAGTTCAGGCGGCGAGTGGGCGGGATGGCCTGTGGTCAGCCTGGATCTGCTGCAGCCACCCCACCGCCACCCCACAGGCAGACATATTCACAAGCCTCTTTCAGTCAATAAAAGTACATGATGCAGTGGGAGCTGGAGAAGGGCTTAGACTGCACTTCTGGATGACCTTGCACCCAGTAACACCCCTCTACTGAATGCGGTGGGGTCCCTTTCAAATGGAGACAAACGGCCAGCACCGAGCAGCGTGTGGGGGAGCAGCAGGTTTATTCCAGCACAGCCTGTCTGTGAAAGCCAGGGGCAAACACTGGCTCTCAGAGGTTCTGCTGGAGCCAGTGGGAAAATGGATGACGCATGCAAAACCGTGTCCTTTTGTATGGGGAGATCTTGACGGACTAGCACTACCAATAATTGGAATATTGATTAGCATCCTTATTGCTAAAAGCAGCTAAATCAGTAGATTTTAGCAGGCCTCTGCAACAGCCTTAGCATAGCTGAGCAAGCAGCCGACGGGGGGGGGGGGGGGGAGGGAGCCACTGTCCTTCCTGGTAAGAGCGCTGGTGAAATTGCTGAGGTATGTGTTTTAGAAAAACAGGAAGATTATCTACATCTGCTCTTTGGGATGTGTTTGTCTGGGCCCTCAAGACATGCGGACTCTGCAGAAACACATCTAACTAATGGTTTGAGGAAAACTCATTTAAACTTTGAAACTGTTTAACAAGTTTTTTTATTGACATGTTGTTACACTAAGGGCTGGTCCACACTGGGGCGGGGGATCAATATAGGAAACGCAACTTCAGCTACGAGAATAGCGTAGCTGAAGTCAACGTTTCCTATATCGAACTAAAAGTACTTACTTGGGGTCCACGCGGCGCAGGCAGGCTCCCCCGTCGACAGCGCTTCCTCCTCTCAGCGAGCAGGAGTTCCGCAGTCGACGGGGGAGCGCTTCTGGGATCGATCTATCGCGTCCAGATGAGACGCGATAAATCGTTCCCAGAAGATCGATCTCTACCCGCCGAATTAGGCGGGTAGTGTGGACCAGCCCTAAGCCAAACAAACAAGGAGAGAAAGTATGGGGTCGGTGGACTCCGCAGGAGCACTTCGTGGGCATATCGTAGGATCCCCAACGGCAGGCGAAAGACTGGCCAATCGGCCGGCTGTCCTTATACCACTCGAAGCCAGCTCCAGACTTGGGTAATTATTGATTTTGGGGGTGTTTTACTAATCTGTTGCAGACGTGTGGAAGTGCTTGCGACTAAATAAAGTGAAAGCGCTCTTGTACTGTGCCGTTGTGCCAGCCATCTAGCGGTCGGACGGCTGTGTCTCCAGTGAGTTATTGCCTGCACCGCCTCGCCAAGAATAACAGTTACCAAGAACTTTGGGTTCTTAGAATCACGGTAACAGTTTGGGCCCTACACACAGCAGCATGCCGCTCACAGCAACCTCATTATTGAGGCCAAGCCTCTTAATAAAATCCTGGGTCCCTTATCTCAGTGAATTCAACAGCCTACTTTGTGCTGGGCCCAGGGCTCGGCTAAGCCCCAGGCTGACGCCTTTGCCTGGAACTCAGCATTCCTTTGCATGAAAATCATCAGCATGGGGCTCCCAGCCTGCACACACACACCCCCCACAGGCATGCTAGCACGGAGCCTAAGTCCTCTCCCATGCAAAGCCCATGTTCCTGCCGGTGGTGCAGAGAGCGCCACAGCACGGGAATGCCTTGCACCCCCCATTGCTTCCCAGCTCCTCTGCAGGGTCAGAGACTGCCTCAGGGCAAGGACCACCATGCCAGAGCCTGGTGTGTACAAGCACTGCAGACAGTGAACACACAGCACTGTCCGTGGGGGAGGCCTGGACTGGGCGGGACTGGTGAGATAGAGGGGGAAGGGTTAGGGTTAGGGTTAGGACTCACAGCCATGGGAGAAGAGAGCAATCTTGAGGCAGAACCACCATACGCTTCCACCAGGCCACCCTACTGAAGGAGTGACTGCCGGGCCTGCGCGTGTCAGAGCCCGCTTCTGCTGCTGGCACTAGTGTGTGTGCACGTGTGCAGGGAGCTCAGTGTGGGCTGACAGCCCAGGACACAGTGCTGCGCCGACGGGGTTAAACTCTGCGACTGAGCCTTGCCCAGGGGAACGTGAAGAGTCGCCATTGGTATTTTAAGCAGTGTAAAGTCTCCCCCTCTCCCAGAGGCCAGGAGAGAGCTGGGTGGCCTGCTCCCAGCTTTC